TATATATATATATATATATATATATATATACCAGGAAATATAAATTTTCTTGTGTGTCCTCCATGGTCAGGGTTAGAGATCCGTGAGATAACATATAGTGTAGAGAATTATTGAGCACTCAATCACAGAAGGTGATTGCAGTGCCTTTGCAATGCTAACCAGCTCGCATACACTCTTGCCTGTCTTACATAGACAGGGTTAGAGATCAGTTCTGGTTGACATAGTGCAGTGGGTTGTTGAACACACAGCCACACAAGGTGATTGTTGTGCTTTGTCAGTGCTCACCACCATACGTACAATACATGTATATTTTCTTCTGTCCTACATAGAGTTCTGTTTTCTTCTGTTCCTACATAGAGTTCTCTTAATTATAGGTATAGTTGGGTATTGCCTGCTCAACCACAGAATGTGTGGCCTATGGCGTGTTCTGCATGCTAAAACATCACATCACTGAGGTTTTTCTCTGTTAGTTCCATGTATTTATATGTTTAATGCTACAGCTTTCAGATCTTTGTAAATTTGTCAAGTTAGTAAAATTTTCATCGGTCATTTCTTGTGTGTTGTGGTGAAGAGGAATTCATAGGCAGGGATGGGTAGCTGCGCATGCGTGCTATATGGGGCACAATTTATATAATCTATACAACAGCCTTTAAACTGGCAGTTGTGCCTAATATTCACCATGTAAATAAATGGTATTAGAGCCGTGTCAAAGGCCTTTAAACTGGCAGTTGTGCCTAATATTCACCATGTAAATAAACGGTATTAGAGCCGTGTCAAAGGCCTTTAAACTGGCAGTTGTGCCTAATATTCACCATGTAAATAAACGGTATTAGAGCCGTGTCAAAGGCCTTTAAACTGGCAGTTGTGCCTAATATTCACCATGAAAATAAATGGTATTAGAGCCGTGTCAAAGGCCTTTAAACTGGCAGTTGTGCCTAATATTCACCATGAAAATAAACGGTATTAGAGCCGTGTCAAAGGCCTTTAAACTGGCAGTTGTGCCTAATATTCACCATGAAAATAAATGGTATTAGAGCCGTGTCAAAGGCCTTTAAACTGGCAGTTGTGCCTAATATTCACCATGAAAATAAACGGTATTAGAGCCATGTCAAAGGCATGGCCCTATATGGTGAACTATACCCATGCACTATACCCTATATGGTGAAGGTATAGTGCATGCTCGCCACGGTAAACTTTCCACCGCCGCCCACTGGATGGGTGTTGTGGTAAGCAAATCAAATTTATATGGAACTAGCCGATTACAAATGTATTTTTTTTTTTATCTTAAGAGACTGTTGTGGTCTAGTCATTGGACCCATAATGCTATGACATGACCAGAGATAGCAGCCATACGGAATTAATTCACAATATTGTTGTTAAAAATTAATGACACAACCTGTCTTCTTATAAATTATGTCTGAATTTGGCTGTTTTCCCGTATGGCCGAAAATGGATGTAATTTGAAAATGAAAAATAATTTAACATAATTTTTTTACTTTTTTTTTCAATACAGCAAGTTAAGATTCCTGTGGTAGGTAAGGAGGGCAGGAAGTTCTCCTAAGGTTTCAAATTGTCATGAAAATCGTTAATTGAAAATTTCCTCTCCTAACCTAACCGAGTAACCCGGATGACTCACAACAGAAAACGGGACAGTACATGACTCGTGAACCGATTTCATTTCATATTATGTCCATTTTTGGCCATACGGGCAAAACCAGCGAAAAACGACGTAATTTTAAGATGACGGGTTGAACAATAGACATGTCACGATGTTTCGGCCCTTCAGAAATGTCGTCACATTTTTTTTTTTAATTTCTGTGTTTAGGTTATCTATAATAGCGATATTAGTAAACAACTCAGGATACTCAATACCATGGATAGTGGTTGAGAGTTGGTGGAGTGTCTTGGATAGAGGGTTGAGAGTGGGTCATGGAGAGGTTGAAACGTGCGTGGATGGTCACGGATAGGGGTTGAGAGGTGGGGTGGAGGACCATGGACAGGGGTTGAGAGAGTTGAGTGGGAGAGGGGGTCATAGGGAGGGAGTTGAACCGTGGGTGGAAGGCCATAGACAGGCTCAAAGTTGTGCGGAGGGCCATGGGCAGGGATTCAGAGGTGGACGGAGGACCATGGACGTGTTGTGAGAGGTGGACGGAGGGCCATGGACGGGTTGTGAGAGGCGGACGGAGGGCCATGGACGGGTTGAGAGAGGTGGACGGAGGGCCATGGGTGTCGTGCATGTCAAGGAATGTTATCATTACTTGGGTCGTGCCAGGAACCTAACAGACAGTCACGCCGCCTTACCTGCGTCCCTCTCTCTTATTTTCCCTCTTTATAGCTCCATCTCACCTTGCGTCCCTTTCTTCCTTTCCCTCTTTATAGCTCCATCTCTCTCCTTCTCACCTTGCGTCCCTCTCTTCCTTTCCCTCTTTATAGCTCCATCTCTCTCCTTCTCACCTTGCGTCCCTCTCTTCCTTTCCCTCTTTATAGCTCCATCTCGCTCTCTCTCACCTTGCGTCCCTCTCTTCCTTTCCCTCTTTATAGCTCCATCTCTCTCCTTCTCACCTTGCGTCCCTCTCTTCCTTTCCTTCTTTATAGCTCCATCTCGCTCCCTCTCACCTTGCGTCCCTCTCTTCCTTTCCCTCTATAGCTCCATCTCGCTCCCTCTCACCTTGTGCCCCTCTCTTATTTTCCCTCTTTATAGCTACATCTTTTTAACCTCCTCTATCCCTCCCTGCTTCCCTACCTGTCTAAACTCGACTTACTTGTCTCTTGCATTTCTGCCTGCCAATTTCCCTACCTTCTTACCTTCATATTTACCTGTCTTCCTTCTAACATATTTGCCTATATACACCTGCCTGTTTACCTACCTATTTACCTATCTACCAACATATATGTCTATCTGTCTACCTTCTTACCTACCTACTAGTAATAATTTTTTAAAATTACTAGTTGTTTTTCCCTATTCCATCGAACATTTAATTAATCTCACCTTCCCTTTTTTATTTTAACCACAGGTTAACATGTTTGCCTATTGTTCTTGACCCATTCCTTTGTCTTCCCGGTGTAAATTACATTAGAACACTGCAGAGGTGAACATAGTTTTTAATTTGAACTCGGGGCTGGTTAATAGTGCTAGACTGAACCTGGCTCTTAGCCTTTCCTATTTTCTGATTCACTCTTGCCTATATTTAAACCCTTTTCCTGCCTTCCTTATTATACCACCTCCCCCCCTGGTTAGTAATGGGCGAGCCATGCCCTCCCCTGGTTAGTAATGGGCGAGCCATGCCCTCCCCCTGGTTAGTAATGGGCGAGCCATGCCCTCCCCCTGGTTAGTAATGGGCGAGCCATGCCCTCCCCTGGTTAGTAAGGGGCGAGCCATGCCCTCCCCTGGTTAGTAATGGGCGAGCCATGCCCTCCCCCTGGTTAGTAATGGGCGAGCCATGCCCTCCCCCTGGTTAGTAATGGGCGAGCCATACCCTCCCCCTGGTTAGTAATGGGCGAGCCATACCCTCCCCCTGGCTTGTAAGGGGCGAGCCATACCCTCTCCCTGGTTAGTAATGGGCGAGCCATGCCCTCCCCCTGGTTAGTAATGGGCGAGCCATACCCTCCCCCTGGTTAGTAATGGGCGAGCCATACCCCTCCCCCTGGTTAGTAATGGGCGAGCCATACCCTCCCCCTGGTTAGTAATGGGCGAGCCATACCCCTCCCCCTGGTTAGTAATGGGCGAGCCATACCCTCCCCCTGGCTTGTAATGGGCAAACCATACCCTCCTGGAAGTAGCTTCCCTCCCTCCCTTTATTCACGCGTTTCTTTCATTCATTCATTCATTCATTCATTCATTCATTCATTTCTCCTTCATTTCCTCCCTTGATCCATCAATCCACTCATCCTGTTCTCTTATATCCACCTACAACCTTATCCTAACGTCACCCCCAGCTTCATCCCATCGTACCTTCCTCCCCCACAACCTCCTCCCCATAACCTCCTTCCAACAACCTCCTCCCCATAACCTCCTTCCAACAACCTCCTCCCCATAACTTCCTTCCAACAACCTCCTCCCCACAACCTCCTTCCAACAACCTCCTCCCCATAACCTCCTTCCAACAACCTCCTCCCCATAACCTCCTTCCAACAACCTCCTCCCCATAACCTCCTTCCAACAACCTCCTCCCCATAACCTCCTTCCAACAACCTCCTCCCCACAACCTCCTTCCAACAACCTCCTCCCCATAACCTCCTTCCAACAACCTCCTCCCCATAACCTCTTTCCAACAACCTCCTCCCCATAACCTCCTTCCAACAACCTCCTCCCCATAACTTCCTTCCAACAACCTCCTCCCCACAACCTCCTTCCAACAACCTCCTTCCAACAACCTCCTTCCCACAACCTCCTTCCAACAACCTCCTCCCCACAACCTCCTTCCAACAACCTCCTCCCCATAACCTCCTCCCCACAACCTCCTCCCCATAACCTCCTTCCCACAACCTCCCTCCCCCCAAAACACTTGGGGTTGGCATCACCGGGTTGTCTGCTCGAGCAAGATCGAATCTATAATGATCGGCTACCGCATGCTCGTAATTCAGCCCCACTGGATCCCACACTATAATTTCATTCTGATCGCAGACTTGTTTCTTGCCTAATAGGGGTTGATCGAGCCGGAGCTGTCTGTCAGGCTGTTGGCGAGGGAGACGGAGAGAGACGGAGAGCTGGATAGACGGCACGGTGAGGGAAGCTGTCGGATGAGGGAGGGGATAGGGAGACGGTGATGGATAGGGGGTTGGTGGTTAGGACGATGGTAAGGTAGGGATGAACGGGAACTGATGGAGATAAGTATATCTGACAGCGTGGTGAGGGAGGTTGTCAGCTGAGAGAGGGATGGAAAAGCGGAAAGAGATGGATGTAGACAGGTGGATGAGATGAGGGAGGGCCAGTAAGACAGATAGAGACAGTTGGGCGGACAGCCGTGTGGCGGGTCTGCTAGGGAAGTATTTATAGTGAGATGGAGAGGAAAGTACGGAGACAGGGTGTAGTGTGGGCAACACGCAGGTGAGTGAACAAGCAAGTAGGAAGAAACAGGAAAATACTTACGGGTACACACACCCACACACTTAACTGGAAAAGGTTCAAAGGTTTGCCACCAGACTAGTACCCGAGTTGAGAGGTATGAGCTATGAGGAGAGGCTACGGGAATGAAACCTCACTTCGCTGGAAAACAGAAGAGTTAGGGAGGACCTGATCACCACATTCAAGATTCTCAAGGGAATTGATAGGATAGATAAAGGCAGGCTATTTAACACAAGGGACACACGCACAAGGGGACACAGGTGGAAACTGAGTGCCCAAATGAGCCACAGAGATATTAGAAAGAACTTTTTTAGTGTCAGAGTGGTTGACAAATGGAATGCATTAGGAAGTGATGTGGTGGAGGCTGACTCCATACACAGTTTCAAGTGTAGATATGATAGAGCCCAATAGGCTCAGGTACCTGTACACCTGTTGATTGACAGTTGAGAGGCGGGACCAAAGAGCCAGAGCTCAACCCCTGCATGCACAATTAGGTGAATACACACTGTTTTGCAAATGGATGAAAATTGGGGAACGGGGGGGGGGCCATTCAGATTAACAGACATGCACACGGAGGAAACACGTTTATTTCCTTCACTTCTTCATTTTCTACTCCACTAAGTACTGGAGACCAACAGCTTATCTGTTATAAGAAACACTAGTACCACCTGTTGCAGGGAAAAATAGTACCACCTGTTGCAGGGAAAATAGTACCACCTGTTGCAGGAAACACTAGTACCACCTGTTGCAGGAAACACTAGTACCACCTGTTGCAGGAAACACTAGTACCACCTGTTGCAGGAAAGACTGGTACTGTACCAGATACACCGGCGAGCATCTCATGGGTAGGATATGGTAGGAGGCGTGGCGAAGGTGTGTGTATATACACTTTAAATACAAAGCTCAACAAAGACATAGTCTCTCTGATAGCTATATTGACCGTTATAAGCTCTAGCCATGACTTGTTCTGATTTATAACTCCCTGTGCGTGACATAATTTGTCAAAGACCATACTAGCTAAGACAAACGTAGTGAAAGAGAGAGAGAGAGAGAGAGAGAGAGAGAGAGAGAGAGAGAGAGAGAGAGAGACAGACAGACAGACAGACAGACAGACAGACAGACAGACAGACAGACAGACAGACAGACAGACAGACACACAGACAGGCAGACACACAGACACACAGAGACAGACAGACAGTCAGACTCTCTCAATGTCCAAATTATCCCTGACCTTGATGAAGCTACAATTGAGCTTATTGCAGAACGATGTTAAAGCAAATTAAAAATAATTGACGAAATAATATTGATAAACGAATTAAAGAGAAAATGATGGTGTTTTTTATGACTGTATAATTTAGCTCAGATCATATCATCATGTATATTGGCGTTTATTAAGTGGATATTCTAGTAGGACGGGTCCCACCACCACCATCTTCACCACAGCCATCACTGCCACCAACAATGGCAACAAAAACTAAGGCAATATCAAGAACAATGGCACCACTGTCAAAATACAACCACCACCACCACCGTCACCATCATAACTACTACTACTACTACCGTCGCCATCTTAACCTAACAACATCAACAATACCACCACCACTACTACCATTAACAACGACAACAGTAGCTGCCCTACCATCATCACTTCTCCAGCCCTTCTAGTAAAATGAGCAGCACCACCGCCTCAACAATACCTGCCTTAGTTTCAGTTGGGTCAGTGAATCTTCATGAAGTCAGATATAGGATAGCCGGTTAATGCCTTGCAACAAAGCTCTGCAGCTCAATCTCCTGCCACTGATCTCATAACACACAAGCTCTTCACCTTAGGGCAAGAGTGCTCTTAGAGTGTACATAATTTAGTTTCCATTATAAAAAGATTAAAAAAAAAACCTTCACGAGTGTCATTCTCCTTCCCACTCAACATTTGTCTTGTAACAATGGTGGCAGCGGTGGGATACAACTTGCTCGCCACAACAATGGTGGCAGCGGTGGGATACAACCCGCTCGCCACAACAATGGTGGCAACGGTGGGATACAACCCGCTCGCAACAACAATGGTGGCAGCGGTGGGATACAACCCGCTCGCAACAACAATGGTGGCAGCGGTGGGATACAACTTGCTCGCAACAACAATGGTGGCAGCGGTGGGATACAACTTGCTCGCCACAACAATGGTGGCAGCGGTGGGATACAACCCGCTCGCAACAACAATGGTGGCAGCGGTGGGATACAACTTGCTCGCCACAACAATGGTGGCAGCGGTGGGATACAACTTGCTCGCAACAACAATGGTGGCAGCAGTGGGATACAACCCGCTCGCCACAACAATAGTGGCAGTGGTGGGATACAACACGCTCGCCACAACAACCCTACCTTGACCTGCCACACCTCGCTCCATGAGCTATAATGCTCCTTGTCACACCAAACCATTCTTACCTCAATCCATATCACTCCATTCCCCTAGGTCACTGTATCCTGCCGTCCATCGCATGTGGTCCAACAGAGCACAAAAGTCTTGTTAACAGCTTGCAGCATCAATACCGTGAACTTCTAAGGGTTGTCTACACTACTTCACGGTACCTAGTGTGTGCAGCACCTTCACATAGTGTTGCATGCTGTCCCTTGCTGCAATTTGTGTACAGCAAACCCTGTTAACAGAAGTTGCTGCACAACACTAGGCACAATAGTGTACTGATAATTTCCTGTCGCATTGCATCGCTGTGGAATTTGTTGCCCCGTTTGCTGATCCAGCTCTGCTTGATGGCGCCCTGGCCGGGTTGATGTAAGAGGGAATTTCTGAGCACGGCTTGAGGCCAGCAGTGCTGGTGGTGCAACACATTCCCACCAACACTTCTTGCCCCACACTATATCCCTACCACAACCTTCCCCACCCCGGCACTATCCATCACAACAACACTTCCCTCATCACACCGCCATCCCCACCTCTACCAAAACCACTACCCCTTCCTTACCGCCACAACCATCACCATACCAACTCAAAAGAGAACAGAGTAGATATGATCACGACATACAATGAGTTTAGAAAATGTTTGGAAATATTTATTCTAGTTCAGGTCAACAAGTAGAATCATTGAAAGAAGTTTTGGAAGCCACCTTTTTCTAGAACTTTAAGGCCAGATTCGATCAAGGCCAAGTTTCCTAACGCCAAAATAGTTAAATTGTAATGCAACAGGTGGGAATAGAGAGATATAACTCACGTTCTCGTAGTCACTAATAGGTAAGCACCACTACTAACACCACCACCACTGCAACCACCACCACAACCTCGACTACCACCACCACCACCACAACCTCGACTGCCACCACCACCACCACAACCTCGACTGTCACCACCACCACCACAACCTCGACTGCCACCACCACCATCACCACCACCACCACCACAACCTCGACTGCCACCACCACCACCACCACCACACCCGGACACACCACAAAAACTACCCCGTAATTCAGTCTGAACGCTGCCCACCGCTCTTGTCCGCCGGCCATCATACGAGTTACCTGTATCCGGACACATCTGCTGGCCATCACACAAGTTACCTGTATCCGGACACTGCTGGCCGTCACACAAGTTACCTGTATCCGGACACATATGCTGGCCATCACACAAGTTACCTGTATCCGGACATAATTATTGGCCATCACACAAGTTACCTGTATCCGGACATAATTATTGGCCATCACACAAGTTACCTGTATCCGGACACATATGCTGGCCATCACACAAGTTACCTGTATCCGGACACAGGTGAAGGAAGGAAGGAAACTTTCAGGGGAAAGCGCCAAGCCATTACGGCTATATAGCACTGGGAAGGGGTCAGGGGGATTTGGGATGGAAAGAGGGGAAAGGAATGGTGCCCAACCACTTTAGACGGTCGCGTGACACAGGTGAAGAAATTCTTAGCTGTTGCCTGTATTCGAACACTTAAGCTAACTATCACACATTATTTGTGTTCGAACACGTCTGTCGGTCATTATACCTGCGACCTGTATAGGTCTATATCTTTCGGATCTAATCTCATACTCTTATCCTGATACATGTCAGCCACTACTAATGTTTTAGTTATCCGGACACATGTGGACCACCAACATTTGTTACCCGTATCCAAACATTGCTGGACATCAAAACGTATGTTCTGTATCCGGACACTTATTGTCGGTCTCCACAAGTGATAATGAATATTGACAGACCGCACATCCGAACACTTCTGTTGTCTCTGAACGAATAACCCATATCAGGACACTTCGGCCGGCTACCACATCCATTCACTCTACCTACATATGTCCAAACACAGCAGCCCCTATATCCCTGTATCCGGACGCTGCCGCCATTCCCCTCGTATCCGTATAAAACCGCTCCTTACATCCGGACAATCGTACAATCTCCGTGGCATATCAGATAAAGAGAGACACGCACTCCCTATTGGTATCTGATAAATAGTATTGGATTAGTGAAGATGATGAATTGCACTTGAGGATGGTATCAACACTTAGAGTTTTATCTGATGGGGCTGGTGGTGTGAATGATGGTATTTAGGGGTGGAGTTGTGTTTGTGGTGGTGTAGGTAACTGTGTGTCGTGTTTGTGGTGGTGTAGGTAACTGGGAGTTGTGTTTGTGGTGGTGTAGGTAACTGTGGGTTGTGTTTGTGGTGGTGTAGGTAACTGTGGGTTGTGTTTGTGGTGGTGTAGGTAACTGTGGGTTGTGTTTGTGGTGGTGTAGGTAACTGGGAGTTGTGTTTGTGGTGGTGTAGGTAACTGGGAGTTGTGTTTGTGGTGGTGTAGGTAACTGTGGGTTGTGTTTGTGGTGGTGTAGGTAACTGGGAGTTGTGTTTGTGGTGGTGTAGGTAACTGTGGGTTGTGTTTGTGGTGGTGTAGGTAACTGTTGGTTGTGTTTGTGGTGGTGTAGGTAACTGTGGGTTGTGTTTGTGGTGGTGTAGGTAACTGTGGGTTGTGTTTGTGGTGGTGTAGGTAACTGTGGGTTGTGTTTGTGGTGGTGTAGGTAACTGGGAGTTGTGTTTGTGGTGGTGTAGGTAACTGGGAGTTGTCTTTGTGGTGGTGTAGGTAACTGTGGGTTGTGTTTGTGGTGGTGTAGGTAACTGGGAGTTGTGTTTGTGGTGGTGTAGGTAACTGTGGGTTGTGTTTGTGGTGGTGTAGGTAACTGGGAGTTGTGTTTGTGGTGGTGTAGGTAACTGTGGGTTGTGTTTGTGGTGGTGTAGGTAACTGTTGGTTGTGTTTGTGGTGGTGTAGGTAACTGTGGGTTGTGTTTGTGGTGGTGTAGGTAACTGTGGGTTGTGTTTGTGGTGGTGTAGGTAACTGTTGGTTGTGTTTGTGGTGGTGTAGGTAACTGTTGGTTGTGTTTGTGGTGGTGTAGGTAACTGTTGGTTGTGTTTGTGGTGGTGTAGGTAACTGGGAGTTGTGTTTGTGGTGGTGTAGGTAACTGTTGGTTGTGTTTGTGGTGGTGTAGGTAACTGTTGGTTGTGTTTGTGGTGGTGTAGGTAACTGTGGGTTGTGTTTGTGGTGGTGTAGGTAACTGTGGGTTGTGTTTGTGGTGGTGTAGGTAACTGTTGGTTGTGTTTGTGGTGGTGTAGGTAACTGTTGGTTGTGTTTGTGGTGGTGTAGGTAACTGTTGGTTGTGTTTGTGGTGGTGTAGGTAACTGGGAGTTGTGTTTGTGGTGGTGTAGGTAACTGTTGGTTGTGTTTGTGGTGGTGTAGGTAACTGTTGGTTGTGTTTGTGGTGGTGTAGGTAACTGTTGGTTGTGTTTGTGGTGGTGTAGGTAACTGTTGGTTGTGTTTGTGGTGGTGTAGGTAACTGTTGGTTGTGTTTGTGGTGGTGTAGGTAACTGTTGGTTGTGTTTGTGGTGGTGTAGGTAACTGTGTGTCGTGTTTGTGGTGGTGTAGGTAACTGTTGGTTGTGTTTGTGGTGGTGTAGGTAACTGGGTGTCGTGTTTGTGGTGGTGTAGGTAACTGGGTGTCGTGTTTGTGGTGGTGTAGGTAACTGTGGGTTGTGTTTTTGGTGGTGTAGGTAACTGGGTGTCGTGTTTGTGGTGGTGTAGGTAACTGGGTGTCGTGTTTGTGGTGGTGTAGGTAACTGGGTGTCGTGTTTGTGGTGGTGTAGGTTACTGGGTGTCGTGTTTGTGGTGGTGTAGGTAACTGTGGGTTGTGTTTGTGGTGGTGTAGGTAACTGGGTGTCGTGTTTGTGGTGGTGTAGGTAACTGGGTGTCGTGTTTGTGGTGGTGTAGGTAACTGGGGGTTGTGTTTGTGGTGGTGTAGGTAACTGTTGGTTGTGTTTGTGGTGGTGTAGGTAACTGGGGGTTGTGTTTGTGGTGGTGTAGGTAACTGGGTGTCGTGTTTGTGGTGGTGTAGGTAACTGGGGGTTGTGTTTGTGGTGGTGTAGGTAACTGTTGGTTGTGTTTGTGGTGGTGTAGGTAACTGGGGAGGGGAGTTGTAATTGGGGTAATAATGGAAGCTGTGGTGTTGAGTTTGAGGTAACGAGGGTAACTGCTATTGTGTTTGTGGTAATTATGGTAACTGAGGTGTTGCCTCTCTGGGTAATGATAGCTGGGGGGGGGGAATTTGTTTATGATAATAATGGTAATTTCAGGGGAAGTGTTTTTGTGGTAGGAGGTTTGTGTTAGTGTGGTGAGGGTGGGCGCTGGGCGAGTGATGACGTCATCACAGTTACTAGTTCTTCACACTACGTGTAGATGGCGCTGGTGATGGACGCCGATGATTATTTCAAAATAATATTTCCTTTAGTATCAGTTTATCACGTCGCTTGAGCTTAACATACTTGGATCAACATAATTGAAAATAATTATCTAAAATAGGTTTTCAAGTGAGGCTAGTTGATGAACATGATCGAAAGATTGAAAATACATATATTAAACCTAATACCAAGATGATAACGTCACTGTTAACCTAATCTAAATGGGCAAGGAGGAAGCTTGACCATTTCTCACTAATAGGACGAATTATATCTCAATGCTTTAAACAAATTGAGTTCTTCGACATGAGATTTAATACGAAAGGGACATCACCTCTTGTGTATCCAGGCCAGAGCATCAAAGAAGGATGTTGTTGTTTAAGATTCGCTACTTGGAACAAATAGCTCCAAGCAGCACGGGCTATGGTGAGCCCGTAGTGGTTATCAGAGAATGAGGCAATAGACAGCCTTCGGAAAAAATCTTTGTTGTTCGTCTCAGAATTAGTATCAGTATTTGAGTTTCCAATCTCACCCTTTATCCATGTATATATACTGTATATATACATATATATATATATATACAGTATATATACGGTATATATATATATATATGTATGTATATATATATATATATATATATATATATATATATATATATATATATATATATATATATATATATATATACCGGTAATATAATAATAACATATAATGAATGCCGGTAGGAATTAATGTATGTAGTTGTTTTGTTTGAGTTGATTCTTTGCTTGAACGCACTCTACCCAAACCCTCGGTTACCTAGGAACAGGTTTGGCAGTATTAGTGAAGCTTAACACTGTCATGGGATAACCTCCCGGCG